ATTAATGGTGGCTAAAATATGTGTTGAACAAAAAAAAAGCGGGGGCTTAATGGGACAATTTACAAAGTTTGTGAAACTGGGAAGTGTTTATTGATTGGTTGTACTTTGTGGAAAATATTTATATTTACGATGTACATTAAACCAGTAGTGTCAACAATGAGCTTCATTTGTTCTATGGACTTAACCATCATCAGTTCTGTGGATTTTTTTTTTCAGAAATAAAAACTTAATATCCTGATTTGCCTGGCCACTTAGCAGTTTGGTGGCTTAGCAACGGTAAAGTTTTGTTGTGATATTTTGAGTTCAGGGCCATGGCTGAAATTTTTCTGAACTAGGACTGTCTTTATCTACCCGACAGAACATTGAATGGCTTTGAAAATTAGATTTTCTGCAAAATTGATTCTGTTTCTTAATAAACTCAACCTAGAGTTACAAGGCAAAATAGCATTTACCTATGAAACATATATCACAGCAAAGTTACCTGACAACTAATCTTTGGATCACAAGAAATGTCAAGCCACTTGATACACTCCCCATACTATAAAAAGTTAAGAAATGAGATCTCCATTCTCCTACAAATGTGTATCAGATATATTTTCTGAGCTCAAACTACTTGTCCAGAGGAGTTTTTCAGACCTCAGTGCAAGAACAAAATAGGTTTTCATATTTCAAAATCAATTGGTGCAACTGAAGAGCTTCCATCTAGTCTTCAATGGGAAGTGGTGTACAATTTAATGACATGCCATGCTAAAAGGCAAACATCGAGAGAAGGATCTAATGCAATTCAATAAATGTCTTCCAAGTGATAGATATGCACAAATCATATGTTTGGCAGCATCTATGTGAAAAAGACGTTTTTCAAGGTTGAAATACGTAAAATTTTATTACAGATCGGCCTTAAGAGATGAACATTTACAATCACTTTTAATAATAGAGGATACTAATTTTGAACCCCAATTAAGCAAAATGCTATCCCCTCCAAAAAGAATTTCATTCTTCTTGGGCCAGCCGAGTGGCGTGTTGGTTAAGAGCTGGCTTGGGACACCAGAGGGCCCCGGTTCAGATCCCACATATGAGGGCCAGTGACACTGCCCTCTGCAGCTAAGATGCTGAACAACAGCTCAACCTGGAGCTGGGTTGCCGTGAGTCATTGGCGATGGCATAGGCTGCAGCCCCTGCTGCAGTGGGTTGCCATGGGCTACCGTGTGTAGCCAGCAGCCAGCAGCCGCCGTGAGCGGCCATCCAGGAGCCGGCTACTGATCTGCCTCGCCTGGGAAGAGCGCAATGATGGTGCCAACTTGGGCCAGTGAAGCAACGTCCTCCACAACTAGACTGAAGAACAAAAGGACAGCTTCTTGTCTATTCCCCTTCCCCCAATTCCCCAGCACTGTTCCCATTCCCCAATTCCCCAATAAAAAAAAATCTTTAAAAAAAAAGAACTTCATTCTTCTCATTAGTAGACCTGTATTACACAAAAAAGGAAAATTATACCCAAATTATGAGTCTGCACTAATATTTCCCATTCCCGGTCAACCCACAGGTTCTGCCTTGCTTTCCTCATTACATATTTCTATCTTCCTTCCTTCCTTCACAGTAACTCCACGTCCCCAAAACATCAACCCATTTGCTCATTTTCTCAATCCTACACACACATAAAAGATTTCAGAATTGCTATGCCCGTACCACTTAGGGTCCCCAGTAGACAGGCATAAAAATGATAAGGACATGCACCCAAACCATCCCTAGAGATGTGGCCTGGAATAGGCTAAATGAAGTCATTCCTGGGCCCGGGAGAGTAACCGATGTTACAAAAAGATAAAGCAGCAGCCTGAAGGGAGGGTATCCTAGATAAAATGTGAGTGATTCCCCCACAGGCAGCCCCATCTTGGAATCTGCTGTATGGTTCTCTGAATGGGGACATATCATCAGTGCAAGAGAAACTGTGAGATAGCACAGAAGGCATTGGGAGAAGGGAGGGAGGAGTCGGGGCTATCCTGTTCCTGGCCAGTCTTCTGTTTCTGTGGTGGCCTGTCCAGCTGTGCAGGTAGAGCTCTGCCTATGGCATCCTGAGGAGGGGACACATGAGGGCTGACATCCAGCCCACGTTGCTCACCAGCCCGCCGTCCCCAGGAGGCGGTTGCACATACACTGGGAAAGGGGCACCTCCCTCAGAGGTGTCCTATACTTTGCACAAAGGCCCTATACAGGCTGGCAAGGCCGCCCTCTGATTGATCTCTGACCAGGCGGTATGAAATGCTCACTTCTTCTAATATAGCTTTTCCCCTGGTGCCATCGCACTGCCCCCCACCCCATCCTGTGTGTGGCCACACATGCGCTCAGGTCTTTTCCTGTGAAGCTGCCCTTGCGGTTCCCAATGGCTCCGTTTGTGTGAAGACTCTTGACATCTGTAGAAGGTTAATTCCACTCCGGGGAAGATGAGGGAAGTGTGACTTCCTCTGACGAGGCCGGGCTCAGAAAAGAGGAGACGGCCGCTATGCCATTTTTGGCTTTCTTCTTACATCTCTGTACAGCAGTGCTAAACCACCATGCGGGAGGTGGGAGATGGGGAGAGGAAAGGCAGCATCGGGAAAGGCTCAGCCTGCCCTGCGTCGGTCTGGCCCAGGGCTGTGGAGTGCATTTGCTCCTGCCTGTTCGTGGCCACTTGGAGCAAGGTCTGGGGAGGAAAGGCAGTTGGAACAAGCGCGTTCTCACCCCGAAGGTCATAGCCTCTTTGCCTTGTCTTCCTCGCCCCCTTTCTCTGGTATATTAAGGTTAATAATTTGAAATATTGGGGCATGACCAGGAAATGACACCCTCAGGCTCTCTCCCAACTCTAGGAGGAAGAGAAAGTTAAGGATGTTGGGGTAGGGGGTGTTGTTGTTTATTTTTGTACTTTGTGGTTAGGGTAGCACAACCAAGCTCTGGAAAAGTCAACATTTTAGACCAGGGGCCTAGAGCAGAGCCACAGGCCAAGAAAGCATTTCATTTCAGGTTCCTGAGGGCGAAGGTCTGACACCAAGAAGGTCAGATTGCATTCCTGAATCTGTTGGAGGTCATTCTCCACCAGGACAAATGGAGCAAGGCTTTTCCCCAAGGACCATGCTCAGGAGCAGAGGGAATTTCAGGGAAGAAGGCAGCTGAACCCAGGCCTTAAGGCCCTGCCAGGGGGTAGAGAAGTCGAGAAAAACGTCAAAATACAAGGCTGTGAGCTGTCCTTGAAGACTATAGGGAACTTGGAGTCTGAGGAAGTGAAAGCAGAGACACCAAGCGGAGCCCACGCTCTATTCAGGGTGAGTGAGGGAGACAGGGTGGGAACCAAGGTCTGGTGGTGTTTCAGAGGTTTGATCAGCATGGCCTGGACATGGAGTGGGTGGAGAAAGCAGCATCCGGCAGCTACAGGACTCGACACGCACATTTCCAACTTTGGGAGGAATCCGTGAGCACGGTTGTCTGGGGGAGTTCACTGTGGATACAGCTTTTGGTTTTGTTTCCCTCCAGGGCTATAAGACAAACAGGAGGCAGCAGCCTTTCAGAGGGACACTTCTCTTGCTAAAGCAAAGTCCACACTCTGGGTCCTTCCAATGACTGGGAAAATTTGACTATTGTCCCAGCAAAGCTGAAGCTGAGGAAATGTGCTTTTTCTTCTTTTTCTCCATCTGCCCCTGCCTTATCCAAGAGTCTCCATAGTCTTTAATTTTCTGGGGTGAAACTCTCATTTAAATTCCAAATAATATACCCCTGGTGTCGATCTCCCACACTGCAGAAGGCTCAGGGTCGTCCTCAGAATTCCCACGGCGTCAGGGGCCTCGCTTTCTTCTGGGACACCTTTCACCCCCACATGCCAGCTGCTCCTCAGTTGCTGATCTTTACTACCCTCTCCTTCCTGGGGGCTGCTAGCCTCTCCCCATACGCCTCTCCAAACACAAACGCTGTCCTGGGCGTTTACCTGAGGGTGACCGATCTAGTTACTAATCTGAGGGGGCAGGTACCTGGCCACCACTGGGCCCTGTTTGCTCACTTCCCCAGTGAAAGGAGCCTGGGCATTTGTAGCTAAAACCCAACCATTTGGTTCTCCCTTAATTCCCTTTCCTGGCATCAAGACAGTGGGTCAGAAACAAAACTCTGGAGAAGAAAACCATGGGAGACTCCCTTAGAGGACAAAGCCTGGACCCTCAAGAAGGCAGAGAAAGAAGGCCAGAGAGGAGGAGGAATGACGTGGATGGTGAGGGAACAGTGTGTGTGGTCAGCAGGATCAGAAACAGCGAAGGGCTCAGAAGAAAGGGGTCCGAAAATCCTCCTAAGTGTGGCGGTTTGGGAGGGCAGGGGTGTCCCTTCCCAGAATCATGTCAGGTGAGTGAACAGGTTAGAATCAAAGTACAGCGGGGTGAAGAGAGAATGAGTGACCTCTCCCCACTTGCTAAAGAAAGTGAAGGCAACCTGCTTAGACCATGTTGAAGACCTTGGCTGAGAAACGGGGGGTGGGGGAGGTGGCTAGAGGTTCACTAGAGGACGAGAGCCAATAAAGCCACAGGACAGAAACCTTTCACATGATCCTATGATGCCTATGTTTGTACATTTTCTATGCCTGCTGCTATTTACTTAAAACACCAAATACTCACCAATCTCCTGGATATCCAGTTTCTCTCACTGATCCCTTGATTCCTGCTCTGTATTCCCTCCCCTGCCCTAGAAACACGCATGCACGTGCGCACACACACACACACATGCACACACATGCACACACACACACACACACACGCACGCACATGCACACACACTGAGACAACCATGTGAATGACCAACCACATGCCCTTGGAGAGAATAGTTGTGCTTGGCCTGTCCTTGGATTCCAGACCATCTGGCATCACACACAACTGCAGAAAAGAGGCATTGGACCTGAACAACTTGGAAGGACAGGCCCAACTGTGTGGGTATTTGGTCAGACACATGATTTCAGTACACAGTTCTAGATAAGATGAGTGATAACGCTTCACCAGGAATGAAAAGCAACAGCATTTCTGATTTTATTTCTTGCTAAGATGACAGCAGGGAAACGTGAAAGCAGATGTGACTGGGAAACTGCACCTCAGGACGGGAGAAAAAGGCCCCAGCGTGCCTGGGGCTGGGGGCCGGGCGCAGGGAAGGGCTGGGGCTCCCTGGGGGAGCATGGGCCACCTTCTTGGGTTTTACCTCCTCAGGAAGGCGCAGGCTTCCAGAAGCGCTGTGGATTCAAAGCAGGGGATTCAGAAACCAGTTTCTTTTTGTTGTTGTTGTTTTAAACAATACATCAATCAAAGAGGATACTAAAATAGACTTCCTTCTGCTCTTCTCCCACCACCCTAAGTCAGTGCTTGCCCTACTCACATTTTCTCACAGCCTCTCCTCCTAATCGCTGCAGAGCCCAAGGGAGCACATGCAGCTCTGACCCTCACCAGCCTGGGTGACACCTGCTCTGGCCCAACTGACACAACCACCCACCCAACTTGTCTTTAACTGAATCAACTGCCACACTTTCAAGTGCACCAGACATTGATGGTCCTTTAACTTCTGGAACATGAGCAATTATAATAACAAGGTCACCTTCATGAAAATCTGTTTGCAACAGTGTTCACCTGTTCATTCACAAATGAGTCACTGTGCTAAGTGCCAAGGGTTCAGCTTGGACAGACAGGGGTGTGCAGTCCGTGCCTTCGTGAGCTGGCTGCTTTCAAGAATAGCCCTACACCTGGGTTTCTCAGAGTGTAGCCCTAGAACCACCTTCAGCACAATTCCTCGGGAGCAGGGCTTCTCCACCAGGGCATTACTGACATTCAGGGCTGGGGAATTCTTTGCTGTGAGGACCGTTCTGTGCTTTCTTTAGTAGCATCCCTGGCTATTACCCACAGATACCAGCAGCATCCTCTGAGTTATGAGAATCAAAACTATCTCCAGGCATTGCCAAGTGTTCCCTCTGGGGCAAAATCACCCCTGGTTGAGAAGCACTGACATAGAGGTTCTTGGCCCTACCCCATCCCTAGACTGTCTCCCCACCAATTCCAATGCCTCTGACATCCTGGGTGAGGGGCCAGGAGTAGGACTCGGGGCGACCAGTGGGGCACAGCGGAGCCCGCACCCACTGGAACCTGAGAATCACCACCTGAAGCCTCATGACACTCTGTGATGTCTTCTAAATGTTTTTTAGAAATTGAGTTATTGTCAGTACATCCCGGCTAAAATGGTTTTGGGCATTTGTATTCTTTATAGTTGGTATTTATGGTAACTGTGTAGAAACTAGAATTTGTTATTTCTCAATACACATGTGTATATATGTGTATGTACATATACATATACACACACATTTCATTTTACTGAATAAAATAAATGAACAGTTTCTAAAAACTCAATGACATGGGATGTGGAGTAGAGTGTGAGAATGGAATCAATGGAATTGTAATAGATATGTATGATATCGGGGGTGGGGGAGCAGTGGATGGAGGGAGAGGGGTTGTCACTTTGTGAGGGGTGAAAAGGATAATTATTGCATTGTTTTGTACACCTGAAACTAATTAAAAAAAACACTCCATGACAGTCACTATCAGCATTATAAAAATTTAGCACATTATCTATTGCTTGTATTTTATGTTCTAATTCTTACACCTCATCAATGTGATTGTATTTCTCAAGGCATACAGGTATTATATTGCCCTAACATTATTATAGCCATCTCCCTTCCTAGAATGATGTTTGACCGTCCAACCTGACTTTCATTTGTGGCAGCTTCTTAGAGAGCTATCTATGGTCCACTTACGGGAGCTGGAGCATTGTCTCAGATTAGCAACAGCAGTGACATACTCTTGTCCCAAATATGTTTCGTATGTCGTTTTGCCATGGAGTTTGGCCAGACACTCGGTGTTGTCATTGAACAGAAGGTTTCTGGTTTCGGACCGGAACAAACAAAACTTGTCCGGACAGTCTGATCCATTTCTTCCAAACTTCGCCTGTATCAAAGGGGCGCATAGCAAGTGAGTAGCAGAGGAAAACAGGAGAGCTTGTGGGTTGAGGAGGCCAAGGACATTTCTTCCATCCAGGATCAGTCCTGGGAAAACTGAGGTGAAAGGAGCTGAGTTCTGGCATCATTCCACTGCCTTGGCAGAGTCTCCTCTGCCCCATGTCCTCCTGTCTCCCATGCCCCAGGTGGCAGACCCACCCCGGACAGTACCCAGGTCCCTTGTCACTTCTGATCTCCCCTCCTGCCATCTTTCCTTTCTTCTTAATCGGAGTCTCTATCCTTAGAACTTCTTATGGGTGACCAGGTGACAGCTGAGGGTTTTTGAGACCTGCCCCCAAAATTGATCACCGGCCAAATTCTAATAGGCCAGCCCTCCCAGCGAGGCAGTCTGCTTTGGAAATCATCTCTGCCACTGACCAGGTCATTACCATTCCAAGGCCCCTGTCTTTAAAGCTCATCTAGAGACATGACGTTTCGATACTAAACTAGAAGCTCTGATAGAGAATCACAGACGTAAAGGCAATCATAGGACTCCCTTCAAGCCAGTTCTCATAGATAGCCTGAAATCTACAGAAGTCCTGGGTTTGGGGTTTGTAGAGATGGGGGCCTTGTCTAGAACATTGCTAGGTCAGCCAGATTCCGGGAGCATCACCAGAGCAGGCCGCTTTCTACCTAGTTGTGGGGGGACGGTTCGGTCACCACCCTCATTTGCCCGAAGAACAAAAGGAAGGACAAGGACAGTGACCGTCTCTGCGTCAGGCTATGTGCATGAGTCCAGGGACAGGAGGCTCAGGGCAGAACTTAGGTCGGTCCCAGGAAGCTTAGGGTCAGAAGCTTCACCGAGACTTTGGGAAGCCCCACAACATGAAGTAAATACTGTCACCCCAGCTTCAAGCAGAGGGACCTGAAAACAGGCTTGAGATGGGCTGATTCACTGTGGCTGCCCCACCTACCAGAAGCCCAGGTAGGTAAGAAAGGGCAGGAGGCCCTGGTGGTCCATACCTGTTGTTTGAGCAGCACCTTTTCCACGTGTTCTACCTTCTCTCTCTGAGATACCACACCATGATTTGGGGCCTTGGCCAGGTGGCAGCTCTCAGCTTCAGTCACAGGCTTCCGGGTGCCATCAAGGCACAGAAGCTCAAAGTCCGCCAGGTTCAAATTCCTAGCCCACTCTTCAGTGCTCCTTCCTGGGGAGAGAAAGAAGGTGGCATCAGCCACAGCTGCCCAGCGTCATCAAAGTGTCCTTCTAGGTGGGTGTGACCATCCGCGGGCCTCTTGAAACGCACACACTGGGGACGCAGTGATGGGAAGGGGACAGAAAGAAGCTTTGTGCTACACAAACTATACAAACTTCAACCATATCATTAATGTTGTATCCATACCATGAGATATAATTCAGCCACAGAAAGGAGTGAAGGACTGATACACGCTACAATACGGACGAATCTCGAAAACATGATGCTAAGTGAAAGAAGCCAGACACAAAAGGCCACACATGGTAGGATTTTTGTGAAATGTCCAGAATAGGCTGATCTAGGGAGACAGAAAGTGGATTGATGGCTGTCAGCTCTGGGAGATTGGAGATGAGACTGTTAGATACGAAGTTTCTTTATGGGGTTTATGAGCATTCTAGAATTGGGCTGTGTTGATGGTTGCACAACTCTGAGAACGTGCTGGAGACCACTGAACTGCACAGTCTGAAGGGGTGGGTTTTATAGTATGTGAATTGTATCTCAATGAAGCTGTTAAATTTTTTTTTAATTTTTAAAAACGAAACCCTCTACCTGTTCCACATTTTCCAGTGAGTTCCCAAAAAAGAATAGCTGGTTTATGTTCAAGAAGGAATTGTTTCTCTCCTTCCTTTCATATTCAAATGCTCTGAGTTTGACCAGAAAAAAAGAGAAGAACTTCTACGGGCTTGTCAAATACATTTAGTCAATTCCAAGACCATATAGTTGTAAAATCCCACAGAAGCTTAAAATTAAATTAGACGTCAACCTGATCCCTGGAGATCATTTAGATTAATGGTTCATAAATTTGAAATGGAATTGTATGCGTGTCACGCGTGTCCGTGTGTGTGCAAACGCAGGCTCGGTGTTCAGGCCCTTGCTTCTCTCCTCCTGCCCACTCCCCTCAAGAAAACACTCCCACCATTTTGTTTTGTTTTGCTTTGTCTGTTTGTATTGAGGTCATTCCAAATTTACATGTCTGACCTCAGTGCCTCTCCCAAGAGACGTGAGGAGAAAGGAGCGGCTGTGGCTGTTGATCTCTGTATAAGAAGGAGGCAGAAAGTTGGGGCAGTTCTTTCTCAGGGGACAAAATAGCAAGTCGTCTGCTGAGGAGGATGGATGAGGACTAAGGAGAGAGGTGCAGTTTGGAAGGTAGCAAATGACTAGGAGTCTTGAATTTGAATTTCGTCCTTATAATGTTCATCTAGAAATCAGGAGAAAGTGATTTATTCAACACTGGCTGGTACATCATCTTCTGCCACCTACATCTACCTATGATGTTGTCCCCATTTACTCACAAGGAGTTTCCAGATGGGGGGCTCACATGGGGCTGAATGAAGGCCTACTTCCTTTTTTGAAAAGGGAAATCTTATTTGCATATGTTCAGTTTTTTGTTTTTAGTATCATCCACATTCAGTTTCCCATAGGCTGGGTCAGGCAGATGCCGTGCTTCTGTGGTTGTCTCTAGACAACGCCAGGAAACATTTGCTACTGAGTATTGCCGGTGTGTGTGTGTGTGTGTGTGTGTGTGTGTGTGTGAGAGAGAGAGAGAGAGAGAGAGAGAGAGAGAGAGAGAGAGAGAGAGAGAAAGAGAAAGAGGGATGGAGAGAGCTGTTTCAAAATCAATGTGACACCTATAGACACTACCATGTTGCATATTGAGGTAAAAAAAAATTAGAATTAACTTAATCAAAAGTCTGCAAAAGGGTATATACTATCTTTCCAGTTGCAAATCTGAATACTGGGATTATTGTGATGTGAAGGACTCTGCTCTGAAGGGGAAGGGGAAACATCTTCACTTACCATTCGTGTTCTCCAAGACAGTGGAATCTTTCACAAATGCAACATCTCCAGCATTCTCAGCCAGGCACCTAAAATTTTCCAGGAAAATAAACACATTGCCAGAGAAGAGAAACTACTAGAGTTTTCATAAATATTTGCAATATACATTCCAAAATCTGAAAATGGGAGTAAACATGGAAAAGATAAAGACAAGTATTTGCAGGAACTTACAGTTAAAGCAGATGATTGAACACAGATGTGTATTTGCCCTCCTTCTAAAATCCCAATAAAATGACATTTATGAGGTTTTTTGTTTTTTTTTTTAGCTGAGCCATCTTGCCACCTGATGGCAGTTCAGCAGCAGCTCAGCTTGGGCCAGGAATCGAACTGGCAACCCTGTTGCTCAGAGCTCACACTCTTGAGCAAGCTCTTAACCAACTGAGCCAGGCGGCCAGCCTTATGAGATTTTTTTAAAGCTATAAATCCATGAGAGACAGGAGAGCAAGAAGGGAAAAAAAGAAGATAATAATGGCAACTTTTGGAAGTTAAAGAGCAAATGGATGAGCAGTAATTGACCCTGCAGAGCAAAGGAAGCTGTAATATAAGTTGGAAATGGGGAAGCCCAGAAGAAGAAAACTGATGTGCACTGCCGAACTCCAGAAAGTCTCAACAATTAGAAGTACCAGACACCACACCAAGTGGCTGAGAACAGGAGGACTGCATAGAGCCTACGCAGGTGCAGTTAGGTATCCTCCTATCCCATGCAGCTGGACGTTGTTCCCCCTCACCTTGGCAGAAGACTGAGGTTGGTTCACAGGGAAATTTAATTTGAACAATACTATGGACTAGAGAACCTAACAGAATTGAGGACAGAGACCCTACACTGAAATCAAAGAGTGGAGTGAAAAATCTATATCCTGGAAGGTTTAATCATAGCTCCCTCTCAGCCTCCCAAGAAACAGACAGGAGGATTCTATCTCTGAAGAATCTGATCAGTGCCTATAGGTTCTGATATTTGGATGCTCCACAGTGAAACGACACAAACCAGTTGCCCTAGAGTGAGGCCCATACTTGACAAGACAAGGCAACTGATACAGAGCTAACAGTCAGCTCTGGTACTTTACTCTTAAATATGGATAAACAGCCAGAGACCACTGGATATTTGAAAATATCAGAAAAGATGGAAACTAGAGCAATTATACTCAGAGGATACAGAGACAATGTAGGAGAGAGAATAAAACTTTTTTTATTTTAATTTAAGCTATAATTAACATCATTAAAGAGATGAAAGAAGGTGCAACATTCATGAAACAAGAACAGGAAGATCTAAAATAGAAACAGTCAGATTACAGAAAGAGTTTTCAGAAAGTGAAAAATTATAATCATAAAAATTATTTAAAATGATATGATTAGAAGATTAAACTGAGCAAAAATCACAGAAATTAAAAGGTAAGGAAGAGCAAATAATAAAAAAGAAAGAGTTAGAAAATGATATGATAATCCAGGAGCATCTATAATTTAAGAATTAAAGTTTAAAGAGAAATCAGAAAAAAACAGGATAAAAATTATCAAAGAGATAATGAAGTAAAATTTTCCAGAAGTGAAAAACTTGAGTTTCTAGACAAAAGGATTTACCAAGTGCCCAATCCAATGAATTAAACAGAAGACTCACATACAGACATATCATTGTTAGTTTCAGAACACTGGAGATTTTTAAAAAATAGTTCTTTAGACTATTTTTAAATCTCACTTTTCCTAAAGAGTATTTTTCACTCATTGTTAAATCTCTGTAAATTTAGAGAAAAATATAAATTATATGTGTCTGATTTAATTACTCTTCACAAAATATTCATTGTGTAGACCTGTTTGTCTGAAACACCCCATAAGTCTTCAAAAGCTTATTCTCTCAGAATTAGGAACCCAAAAATAAATTATTGAAAACTCAGAAAGTTTTCAGGAAGAAAGAAAGTCATGTACAAAGAATCAAAAATAGTGGCAGGTTTCTCAACAGAAACTCTAGAAATCACAAGACAATGGATTGATGCTTTAAATTTGCTATATTTTCTCTCTTTCTATGTTACGTTCTGCATAATTTTTTTCACATATCTTCTACTTCACTCTTTTTTAGCTATGTCTAATCTGTTAACCTGGTCAATTGCATAGCTAATTTCAATTGCTATATTTTTTTCCTTTATAGATGTTCTATTTATTCCTTTTTTAAAAATGCCAACTTGCTTTTACTGCTGGATTTTGCTTCTGGTGACTTTCTTCCCCTGTGTATTTGGTTAATATTTACTGCATACAGCTCTTTATTATTAGAAGAGTATTTTTGAGCAGTCTTTGAGGCCTGATCTGAGTATGCTGTCTTTCAGGCAGGTTCCTAGGGGAACTACTAGTCTGGGACCACTTTTTAAAAAAATGTATAAGTTGAGAATTTCTGGACCATCCTAGGAGACACAAGTTTGAGCTACAAATCCTCGCAAGAGCTAGCTCATGGTTTCAGTTTCTCAGGGATGGTGTGTATTTTCCTCTCCCTTTTCCTCAGCATCCAGGCAATTTGAAGTCCCCCAGGAGTAAACGTGAAAGTTACTTCTGGTTCACTCCTACCTTAAAGTAAGTTGGTCAGAAAAGGTAAATGTCCTCAGGGTCAAGTGGTTCCACTTAGCTCTCTGAATTCCTATTCTCCCTTAGACTTTAATTTAATAACTCCTTATTACTCTGTCAGTTATTCAATGCTTTTAAGAGAGAGAGAGTACTTAATCCAGCATTTTTGCTTGTTTTCGGTGGGGAAGTTGGGCTAAATAGCCTCGTGCTGCCATTCCCCAGATATGGAAATCCTGTCAAAATTCCTAATGTTTTTCAACCTACACTTAGTTATTCAGCCAAACTATAAGCCATTTCACAGGTAAAATAAAGATGTTTTCAGACATGTAAATACTCAAAAATCAGCAACTCCTATTCACCCTTTCTCAAAAAGATATGTTCTGTTACCACAAAATCAAGGTAGCTAATAATGTGGGATCCAGGAAATGGGCGCTTGAACATGAAGTGAGACCAAGCGAAGTCCCAGAATGATGGTTCAGGGGAATCCCAGGGCCACAGAGGAGCAGGGGGCCTAGAGGGCACCAATCCAGGCTGAGCAGCAGGATGGAGGTCTTCAGGGGTAACAGTCCCAAGGGAACGATAAACCTGGGGCAGCACCCACTCTGCTTGTGTATGTCTTGGTCGGAGAGTTACACTATTAGTAGAGGGCTTGGAGACGAATTCATGATTTTTTTAAAGCACAGAAAACTAAATAAGTGAATAAATCAGACGTCTGTCAACTTTGTACAGAGCATACAAAAACTTTGTACAATAAGGGAAACTTAATCGTATCATCCCATATATTTACTACGAGGATAATATTTCCATATTCATAAAAACATAACGCTGACTATGACGTAAACTTACTGGGGGCTAAAAGGAAGTGAAATTTGTGGTCGTGGGTGGAAGAGACAGAAGAGCCAGACGAGAGACTAGATCTCCTTTTTCCATAATAGAAAGGCATCAGAAAACAGCTGACAGTTACATTTAAAAGTTAAGAACCAGCAATATAGGGATATTAGTTAGAAATATAGAGGAAACTAGGACTTCTGGTCCCAGCTTTCAATTAGAACAAAAGACAAAGCATTTTGTTCTAATGTAAATACTGCAGCATAGGTGTTTCCAGTGAAATCATACCTTATCATAAGTTTGAAAAAAAAAACACTACATGATTCCTTTGGGTTTTTATCAGCTATGTGTCTATTCAATACTTCAAATGGAATCACATACGACTTTTCCATTTGAAAATCCTTAGTCCATTAAAGATATTTGTGTACTTTCACAAAATATTTTTCTTATGAGTCACTCAGAGTACAGTAAAAGCTATTTTATATCATCTCATCACCGGAGGGAAAGGGTACTGAAAATAAATAAATAAATATATATATATATATATATATATATATATATAAAAGTTCAAAGATCAATTTGATCCCTGTCATGCTCAGATACATGATGCCATCTGGTGGTGAAATATATTCTTGAAGAATGGAGAAAAGCGGGTGAGGGAGGACTCTGCCCTTCACACCCCAAATACAGTAAGCACTCTTGAGAAACAACATCTAAATGAATGATGGGATTGTAAAATGTAGGTTGCGGAGAGTTTCTGCAAATCACTAAGTGGTGATAATTCTGAAAACCTATTTTTTTGTTCATTTTTCACTTCACTAGTGGAGAATAACACGGCAATACTGCTTTTTCTCTTTGCCATTTCAAGGGCCAAAATCAAATAGAAAAGTGAAATGTAAAACATGATAACCTAGATTGGGGGGTGGGGAGTGGCTATGAAAAAGAAACCTCTTCCCCATAAAACTGAATTGTAGCAAGGACTTAAGACACCACATACTCTAGCTGTTTGATTTTGAGGATGAAGACATTGAGGCCCACTGAGGTTGACTTTGGCTCCAGGCCACAGCGAGGAGCCCAACAGAGCTGAAGGCAGATAACCCAGGTACCAGCCCCCCACTCTCTGAGGTGGTGAGGGTAATGGGAAGAGCCCTCATTGATGCTGCCCACTATCAGACCCCCGAGGTGGTTCCCGGTTCTGCCGCGACAGGCCACATAGGGCCCCTTAGAAAAGCAGCGCCAAAGGCCATATCCTGGTGGAGCTTGACCATAGCACTCACCTGAAAGCCCCGGCGTAGCTATAGTATCTCTCATTGCTGTTGGGCGCACACTTGTTCTGGCCCGCCTCGTTGCCAATACACAGTGCACAGAGACTGGAGCTCGGGTCTGACCCAGGGGCACAGCTTTGACTAAAGAATTCATCTGTAGAGAAGGAACATGGGAAGTCAGCTCTTCCTACCTGAATCAACATAAGTGGCCTTTACCCAGCAGGGGACGCAGCTTGGTTTAGGTTCATTACATTGCCCAGGCCAGATAGGACAGTCACTGTCACAAGCAGTGACATGTTACCACCAATCCACAGCCCACTAGAAATCAGAAAAGGCTTCAGACTGTAGGCGTTGGCAGGAAACCTGACCGGGGCTGGGGATGAGAGTCTGTGACTACGCAGAGGGTCCCACCATCACAGTCTGGAGCTGGGGACTCAGCTAATGAGCATACATCTGCAGCCCAACCTGCTGGTTGCCTACTCTGGCATCTGACTTCCCCTTTTTCTCAGTAATAGAAGCCCTGCTTCTTACCTGGACACCTGGTCCCCTAGAATAAAGACTAGCCTGATCCGATACCCTGTGGCTGGTACAGCCATGTGGCAGGTACTGGCCACTGAACTATGAGTGGGAGTGCTGGGTCCAGCATCTTGGAAACATCCTTAAAAGACAGTGGCATGCGCTGTCCTTAGCCCCTTTCCCTTCTTTCATTCCGCATATGGAACGCACAAGCAGGGGCTGGATCTCCCGTTGTGACAGGGGCCATTGAGGTGACTTTGAGCATGAAAGCCACCATGTCAGAGCAGCCAGCTGTTTGAAGCCCAGGTCCCTGACACCATGCTGCCATCATACTAGCCCTGGACGATCGACCTCTGGACTTCACTCACATGAGACAGAAACAAACCTGAGTCTTGCTTAACCTTCTACTCTTTGGCGTGCTCTTAACCTTTCAGCTGAATGTAATCTAAGCTAACCTACCCAGTGATTTAACCCAGGTTAGGGAGTTACCATGGATTAATGTGGGCTGAGGAGAGAGGAAATAATGAGAAAGCACTGCTTTAATGAGCAAATAGCACCCATTATCAGGCTGCAGCCCCAGCACTGGAAGAGCCAGACCACGTGCCAGTCTCGGGCAGGGGCTGGGGCGCATCCAGCACAGAGGCAGCGAGGGAGCTGCAGGGAGAGACAACGGCATGAAGTGCTGGTGAGGAGCGCAGCCTCCCTGAAAGCCTGCCCGAGGAGGCGCCTGCACAGGAGGTGAACCACGGCGAGAACATGTCGCACACCCCCATTTCAACGGGCCCTCAACAGGTGAGGGCATGGCTCATGCGTGGGGCGTGAGCATGGGTTGTGGCAGGAAGAGAAGGCCCCAGAAGCAGGTTGAGCTAGACCCTCGAGGTCTTCCATTTCCTTTGCAGTGTGGCGTGAGAAGTCAGTTCTGATTTAGTAACAGAAGTCACCTACCATGAGGCAGGCAGGTGCCTTTTCCCGAATTAGGAAGCCAGCACCTGGGAGGAATTTAGATCTGGAGCTCCAAAAAGTCAGACATAACCTATGTACTTCTCAGAGCCTGCATCCATTCTTAGGGTGCAGAGGAACCGACTGATATTCCAGCGTTTGACCTTGGAGTGGGGTGGATGGGGCATGGGGAGGGCTGGGCGGAGAACCACTCCGTGTCCTTGAGCTTGCTTACACCAAAAGGGGCTGCAGGCCTGCAAGTCCCCTGCCCCCTCCCGTCCCTGAGGTTCCACAGCTCCACATGCCCCCCACCCAGGGGAGCTCGCCCACCTCCCTCAGGACTCCTTACCAAATTTGCAGGAGCCTGTCTGGTTGAAGAGCAGGCCCATGGGGATATTCCAGCCTGCGGTCCTGCCCACAGCCGTGTGGCAGGACTTCTTCCCTCTCACAGAATTCCAGGTAATATCAGCATTTGATCTCCTGACGACCGCCACAGCACGATACCCTTGGATGATAGGAGAGCCAATCTTAACTTCTGGGGGCCTGGTATATGGACTCTAGCGCAGCTGTCTGCAACCCAGGCCAAAGTAGGTCAAGAAGCATCACCAGCAATGACTCCCCTGGCACTGTTAGGTACACCAAAAGGGCTGGCGCTGCTGCCCCATGTTAAGGTAAGAGTGATCTGGGCTGTGAAATGAGATAGTAAGAAAACAGATCCTCAAAGTGATTGCTGGGGATTTTCCTTGACCAGCCACACACTGTCCCTGAGTTGTAAACCAGCCATTCACCTTTAGATGTGAGCTACTAAAGCAACAACCACTGAACAACAAGCCTGACCCCAGTAGTGCATAAATCACCAACTGCAATATTCATCGGGCTGGCGCGATGACAGCCACCAGGCTAAGTGCTGTCTGGATGCAGTGGTGTGTCTCCAAGGACCGTCCTGTGCTGAGTCCGAATGAGCCCTGCACCGTGAAAGGGTCAGTGTGGTGGCAATCCTCCTCCAGACAGGATGCACCTGACAGACTCCCCCTGTGGGCAGTGCAGAGCCCTTCTGAAGGTGAGCAAGTGCCAGCTCTGATGGGCAGGTGTGGCTGGCGCACACAGCACGGGGTTAGCACAAGAGGTCAGGAGCTGCCACAGTATCGCCTACGGCTGTGAGTGAGATCTGGGCACTTCGGGAGACTATCTGGACCACTGTTTCCTTATCCATCTGAGATGGGGATGTAACACCCCTCCTTCCAAGTGGCCAGGGCACATTGAAGAACTGTGAAAGTTCTCTACCAAGTGTGAAAATCACTATAAACATTAATTTTAATTATTCATCTATGAATGATTTGCATCTTCAAAAGAACTTATGACCTCGAAGGCTGTGTCTCTTCTGTGAGTTTTGTAAAGTTCCTGAAACCTCTTCCTCCAGCAACAAGAACTTACCCTTGACCCTGAAAGTAACCGATTCCCACTCACCTTCCACGGGTCTATCCACACAGTTCATATTATTGCTATTTTCAGATTCTGAAAGAATAAAAACAAGCAAAATGTCATGAAACTCTCGGGTTTGTTGAAAGTCACAAACTTTTAAATCTCAACAATACAGAATCAAATTCAAAGAGACTGCTCCAGGCAGCAGAAATGCATATATTTGCTCACCAAAAGACATGGACACAGATGTTCATAGCAGCATTATTTACAACAGCTTCCAACTGGGAATTACCCAGAGACCCATCCACGGTAGAATGGATAAATAGTAGCAGTAGAACCACACAAAAGAATACTATACAATGAGACTGAATAGTCTGCAACTACACACTTATAGGGATGAATAGCACCAGTGTAAAAATGAGCAAGATACTTTAAAATGCACATGATGTACAACTCCTTTTATATAAAGTTCCAAAATAGGCAGAGCTGATCTGTGCCCTTGGAAGTCAGGAGTCACTACCCTTGCTGAGTAAGGGAGCTGGGGACAGGAGGACACAAAGGGACTTGTGAAACTTGCTGTGTCTTGATCTGGGGATGCACCAGTTATGAAATGTCATTGAGCTGTGTACTTATGTGCACTTTTCTGTATGTATATTATACTTTACTAAAAAGTCTTCAAAAATGAAAAAGAGGAAACCAATGTGTACTTTGTCAGCTCTCACCAGAAGAGACACTGTCAGTCACACAACCCCTTTTGTTTAGTCTTTCCCCTGATTTCTCCTGGTTCAATGTATCCATCCACCTTAGTCTCCGTCTGGACCCGCCTAGTGGGGTTACTCCTCCCGACCTCCACTCCATGACTCAGGGGGAGTAACCCAGAGAGGACACATTCCCCTCTTACTTTGGCTCTCTGCCAGGACAGGCACCAAACCACATTTGCCCGCAACGTAGATAAATCCTCCATCCAAACTCATAGCATCGGCTTCTCCTTTCTGCAAAGACAAAGCAAATCACTGGCACCACAGTGAGGCTGTTTCCTGTCCCACCTGTCTGAGTAGCTGTCTGCGACAATGGTTTTATGGAAGGTGTCCCAATGAAATAGCAGAAAGAGGCAGGGGTGTTTGAACTGAGCACCCAAAAGAAATGCCGCGTGCACTGTTGATTCCCTACCAGCCCCACGTGCCTTTCGTGCTGTTACTTCTATTGGGAAGACCAGGCACAGGCTGCACTAACCCTCCGTCCTCTGGACAAAACCCTCTCAGTACTCCGAGCATTCTTGGGACGCCCTCCTGGACCAGCCTCATTACCTGAGACAGATGGGACCAGCTGGCCTTGTCTCATCTCCACTCATCAGCCCCACACTCAGTGCTACACAGAAGTGGGCCAACAAACGAGCAGAAAGAATTAAATGCACTCACCATCAGAATGCATGAGTCCACACTCCAACACGGGTTTATCAAGAACCCCAAACTCCCTCTTTGGCCCAGTCCTAATTTTTTTTTACAATGATATTAAAAATAACAGGAGATGTGGATAAAGATTTCTATTCAAGGATGCTCATCACAGGGTTATTGATAATAATAATAATAAAAGGGGACAAAGAGGAATAGGGTCATGACTAAACCGAGCCACACCCATATAAAAGATAGCCTGAAATCATGGTTTCAAAAGTGTTCTCAAAGAATATTCATGTGGGGAAATGGTGGCAATACATCTTAATAGTGAAAAGAGCTCAAAAACTACCTAACTGGTATGACCCAGCAATGTCGCCAAGCCTATGAGTCACTGTACCCGGAAATCCTGAAGTGGGAAATGACCAAACTTTCCCAATGGTGTCCCTCTGTGTCAGGTCACATGTGGCATTTATTCATTCATTCATTCATTCATTCATTCATTCATTTCTATTTATTTAGTTAGTTTACATCATTTCTTTCTGTATTTTCCAAATTCCCTGCCATAATCCTGCGTTGGTCTTATAATCCGAGGAGTGGCAAGCCCACAGTAAACAGTTTTTTAACTAAAAGCTGTGGCTGTGTGCACACTGTGCGCTGTCCCCAAGCAGACCCTACCCAGGGCCATCCCTCCTAACCGTCCCCCACCCCTGGCAGTGCCTCTTGGCGCCCCATCACTTCCAAGCAGATGCCCATGACCTGGGGTCTTCTAATGAGCTCGCCGCCCCGCACACACACCCGCACGGGACACTGGCTCCCACCACGGGCGGCCCCCTACCAGAACCAGGGCGATGCAGTCCTCGGTGGTGGCGGCTGTGGCACAGGTCACGTTTCCCATGCTCTGGCTGCTCCACTGCTGGCACTTGCTCTGCTCCTGGGGGCCCACCGCGCACCACACGACCTGTGCGCGCCGCGTCTCCACCTCCTCAGCCGCTGTCCAGAGGGACACAATGGTCAAGAGTAGCCCTGAGCCTTGTGAGGGACACCCCAGCGCTGCTGACCTCCGTGGGGCCTCAGCTGTGCTCGCTCAGGGCGCCTTTCTTGCTTGACCCTCAGGCGGACGCACACCAGACCTGCTTCCTGGATGAAGAGCCTTGGGGACACCTGGCCGTCTCACCCTCCACTCTCAGCTCCCAGCTCCCTCCTCGGGCAGGGTTGTCCACCTTGTTTCTCAGTCCCATTCTTCCCCTGGCTTCTAATCCGCCCTTCCATCCTTAGTATAATGACTTGCCTAATATCTCGGTCCCACAGGAGAAAAGCTGCAGGATGCAGAGACAGTGGCAGCCCAATGAGATGACCTAGGGGACCTTGAGCCTGGCCCTGACTTCCCCTAAGGCCGGCAGTCACCATCAGTAATGCAACCTCTGGGTTCACCCAGACTCCACCCCAAGCCCCCCAGTAGAGAAGAGGCATGGCTGAGCAGACCCACTATCGTCTCCCCAGCCAAGACCAGGGCCCAGGCACAGGGTGAGGTGCGCCCAAGGCCTCTGGGTTCACCCAGAAGGGGCCCTGGCTCTCTCGGTTCATGTTCATATTTCTCACTTCATAGGAGTCAAATTGATTTTTCTGTCAGGGCTGGTGAGCCTGCTGTACACAGGGAACTCAGGTGACTGACACATTGGCTTAAACTAGAGACACTCCCACATGCACTGACTTGGTCAACAGAAGACACGCGCCGACTGCATCAAACCTGCTGTAGAGAAGACCTCCAGGGGCCGGGAGATGGGCAAGTGACCACTACAGAGCAGAGCCCTAAACACCAGGCGGTATGAGGTGCTGCCCCCAGAGGGGCTCAGCCATGGCTCACCACCCGCCCCACCCTGTCCTCACTTACTTTGCCTCAGGTTCTTGATGGCCGTGAGGTACTTGGAACCGAGGTACAGCCCAGCATCTATCTTCGAGGGGATCCTCTCAAACCCTAGGGCATTATCTTTGAACAGCAGGTCCTTCTGCCCAGAAGGGGAGCTGAAGAGCTGGAATGCCGGTGACTTGCCTTTTCCAAACTCCTCCTAATTAAGGAAAAATAGAATTTATGATGTCAGCAGTCAATAGGGAAGAAACAACACGATGTTGAAAAAGAGCATCTGGAACTTAGGGATGATTCTGAGAGCGGGACCTTGGTTGACTTCCTCCTGCAAGGGACCAGTGCATCCCTGTGACATAGCTCAGTTACGGCTTAGTCTTTAGAGCATCGCTGGGGTCCAGGCACCTTAGAGTCCTGAGAATATTGCATTGTCCTCCCCACTTCTGCTCCAGCCCATGAGACACTGTCGGTCACTAATGCTAGAGGTGCTTCATAGTTTCTGCTGTCCAAAATACAGCCTAGGCAAGCAGTCCACTGATTTCATAAACTCCTGTGCAGTGAGGCTGCAGAAGGACTTCTAGAGCGGCAGGAAGTTAGGGGAGGAAGGAACCTCCCACCACCAAATCCAAGCAGGTGGGAGGACTGTGGGCGCAGATACCTGTGCCCGGCGGAGAAGCGTCCAGATCCTGTCCTCCTTGCCATTCACACTTCTGGCCACAACAGCATGAGAAGGGACCCGGGCCAGGTGGCATTCCTTGAATTTATCCACTGACTTCCGAGTGTTGTCTGGGCAAAGCAGCTCATACTCGTCCCTCTCAGCCTTCTCTGGCAGGTTCTCTGGGGAACGGGGAGAGGAGGGGTTGAGGGGCCCAGGTGAGCCTACTCCAGGCAGTAACCAGAAGTTATTGTTCCCCTCCCACCATGAAGTTGATCTGGAGGAGACATCTTACACAGTTGACAAACGTGGGGAGTCAGAAAGGCAATGGATTGCTCCAGAATACTCAGAAAGGTAAAGACAGTGCCCAGAAACCTTTGGGGGGCAGCCCAGTGTTGCTCTGACTGGATCATATGGGCTGTCCTGGGATTATTGTAAATGCTGCCTGCTGAGCCAAGGAGGCTGAGCCAGACCCCATCTGTTTCCATGGCAACCTCACCTAGAAAAAGGTTACATGATGGAGACAAGTCCAGGGGCCAGCCAAGGGGTGCTGCCTTACCTACATCTCTAGAAAGAATAAAAATGTCAAAAATTTTAAGGGAGAAAATACAGTTGAGTCACCGCCCAACACTGGCTGTATCAAAAGAAGGGAAAATACAGTTTACGTGAGTGAGTACAGCCCAATTTGGAATTGTTCATCCATATCATATATAAATGGCTTCGGAATATACAAGATGACAGAAACTTGATCATTTTATGAGATTAGTACAAACTTGATCTCAAAAGTCAGAGAAAGAAGTACAGGAGGAAAGAACTGCAGGTCCGTTTTACTTATACACATAGATGTAAAAATCTCAAATAATGTATTTGCTAGCTCAGTCCAACAGAGCCTTTTTAAAATGAATCATTCAGGATTAAGGTTTATCAATTTATTCCATTAACAAAAGAATGGTTGAACGTCAAAAAAGTTGAAGTAACCCACGACATAATGGATTAAAGGAGGAAAACCATGAAATCATCTTAATAGGTGCCAAAACAGCATTTATATGTTCAATGTCTATTGTGATTTTTTTTTTCAGTTTCAGAAAACTGGTAATATAGAGAACTAGGAAAAGTTACTGAACTTGAGAGATGCCATTTATCCAAGTATCTACAGCAAAATCAGACTAAAAGAAGAAAAATTAAACATTCACTTAAAAATCAGGAACAAGGCAAGGATGCTAGCTATCACACTGACAACACAATTCCGGAAGGTCTAGATTATACAATTTACAAAAGTAATAGGAGATATAAACACTAAAAGGAAAAAGACCAACTCTATTTAAAAATGCTGACATCATCTACATAGAAAAGCTGACAAAACCAAGAAAGAACTAATAAAATTAATAAGAGAGTTCAGCAGGGTAACACTACAAAAATCAAGTGTTATCCTGAGGATTAGCAAAAACCAAACAGAAACTAATACAGAATATAAGATACTATAATAACAACTGAAACCATCAAATAGATAGTAATTAGCCTCACCCCACACACAAAAAAAAGTGCATGAGACCAACAAAGAGAAAATTTTTAAGTTCCATTAAAGATATAAAAAGAGATATTATCAAACAGAGGAGATATATCATAATCAGGGATTGAGCAATTTAACATTATAAATATTCAATTTTTCATGGAACAATTTAAACTCAAAACAATTATAATTACAATGAAAGTGTGAAGTTTTTACAAATTCAACAGAACAATTCTAACATTTTAGTTTAAAATTTTTGAAAATGAACAGCAAAGTGTATGGCGAGAAAGTCCCCCCCCCACCACCACCACCATTTCTCTCCCTGACATTAAGGCCTAGTACAAGCCAGTGTAATAAAAGCAGAAAATAAAACACGCCAGCGACACAAAATAGCTCAGAAATTGATCCGTGAATATATGCAAATTAGCTGTAAAAGTGGCTCCCCACATCAATGGGGAGAAAGTAGAATTTTTTATATTTGTTATCGTAAGAAAAATGGTCTCACTATTAAGGAGGGAAAGGCTGAAGCCCAATACACACCTAGGTAGAGTATATACATAAGGACAAATTATGTTGAGAGAGGCTGTCTTCAAATTTTATTGTTGGAAATCTTTATGATTTGGGGTGAAGAGGGGATCTTTAAAAGACCCCAAAAGCTTAAACTGACAGGACAAAAGCCATCGACTTGACCCTATCAATATCAAGGATTGTTCAAGACAGGATGCGAACGACAGAGTTTTTGACTGAGAGAAGGTGGGCCTGTCTAAAACCAACAATGGCTTGGTATCCAGATAGAAGGAACTCCTATCCTTGAATCAAAATCATGAAGGAACATTCATGAAACTTAATAGAAGAGTGGTCAAAAGTTATAAAATAAGAAAGGGAAGCCCAAATTCCTAGCACGTATATTGAGATGATCAAACTCACTAGATGTCAGAGAAATGCAAATTAAACCAACAATGAGGTATCTATTGCTTTCTAGTCATCATTTAAACAAAAAATATGAAAGTCAAAAATACCCTAAGTTGAAGTTGTGGGGAAATGAGAACAGCTGCAGAGTTCTGGTGGGAGTGTAATTCCTGAGAGTAACCTGATAGCCCTAGGTAGAATGTGGGGGGCCTTCCCCAGTGGTCCTGGGTGTGTGCTGGGCCTGTCTCCAGTGGACTTGCAGGGAACGTGGGGGGTCTGTCCCCAGTGGTACAGTGTAGAATGTGTTCAGCCTGTGCGTACCCAGCAACTGTGCTTCAGTGTGTATTCCCTCAGGGACATTCTCCAGCAGGACAGTAAGAGGACACACATAAAGGCATGGGTCGTGGAGCTGTTTGTGGTAAAGGATAGGACAGGATGACCCTGTCTATCACTACAGTGATAGATAAATAAAATCTGATGGACGCCATCCGTGCAGCATTCCTCAACTGTGAGAACCACTGAATTAGACCCATGCACAACTCTCTAATACCAAGTTCTGGCTAGAAAACCTTGGCAGCACCATGGTTTCTGACACTCTGTGAGCTTAGAACCCAGAAATCCAAACCAGCACAGGTCATTTTGCGATGAGAGCACATACATCTCAGAAGACGTGTGTCAAGTCCTTGGTCATGGTGTCTGTGAGGGGAAAGACAAGGGCAGTGGACATGGAAGATTTAAAGGAAACTGGTCATTTAAACTATGAAATTACGTAAAGCAAGAGCCGTGCCCTGTAGGGAACCTTGGTAATAGTATGCCAAGAACTGAGGAATTGAATTAGCATTCAGAATTATCATAAAATAAAATAAAAGGAGGCAGTCCCCATAGCTCTTCTCCCTATTCTTACCAAACACTGTAGTCTCCTTGACAAAAGCTACATCTCCGACCCCGTCTTTCAGACACCTGCGAAATGAGAAGGTACCAGAAGGATCAGCGCATTGCAGCCCGCCATCCCCAATTTTTCCTTGCAGCTCCCTGCAGAACACAACCCTGGAGCTTGTCTCCTGTGGGCGTCTGCTCCCCGGAGGGCAGGACTCTGAGGCTGTGGAACACACTGGCTGGGAAGGTGGCAGGGGCCACCTCCAGGTAGATTCTGAGGAAAAGGGGTCGGGTGCTGGCCAGAGGCCCCATCCTTTAGCTTTAAGGACCCAGAGGGCAAAACTTTGTCTTTCTATGGAAAAGAGAGCTTTGAAGCCTCTATACCAGAGGACAAAGACTTGGTATCCTTGGCCATGTGGTTCTTTCTCCCAGGACTGAGTGGGCAAATGTACCCTGGCCGGCAGAGAAGTGGGGAGGCCTCCCTCTAGAAAAATGCCTGAGCCCAGGAGGCAGATGATGGGGGGAAGAGGAGCAGCGTCAGCCTGATGGGGGCGGATAGGGTCCAGAGGCCAATCAGGCGGGGCTCACTGTCTTCCAGCTTGGGGAAGGGGTGGCGGGGGAGGTTCAGCTAGGGCAGACCTGCTCAGCCTGGACACCCTGCCATCCTGCCCAGCAAAGGAGCCTGGGACTGGTTGTCTCATGACAAGACTCCTTCAGTCCCTCTGTGGTTAGAAGTCAGCAGTCAGAACCCAGGACAACACAGGGTTCCCTGGGAAGAGTGAGGGGGCCACTGCCTAGGTGACTGCTTATCCGGCTGGTATAGAGGTGAGGGGGCACGTGTGGGTTCCTGGGGGACTGGAGGGGAACAGGCACTGGGCAAAGTCATCACCCTCTTTGGACTCAGTTTCTCTATTTTCACAGCAGTAGGAGCACTGGGCTGCTTCTCTGGTCCTTACAAGCAGGTTGAGCTCTATTTGGGGCCAGAGAAAAGGCCTCCTGGCCTGGGGACATGTGGCACTCAGGTCACCGGGGAGAAGAAGACAGCCTCACTTACTTGAAGGCACCGGAGTAGCCAAAGTATGGTTCCCGGGTAGAGCAGGCACATTTATCTGCCCCTGTCCCAGCACACAGACGACACAGGTTGGGGTACTGTGTAGCATCCACGCAGGGAACACAACTGGCTGAGAAGAACTTGGCCACAGCTGTTGAATACAGAGACATAGACCACAGAGTGTGTGCCAGCCCGGCCACAGCCAGTTACACCTCCCAATGTGCGATCCCCTCTGGGCAGCCCCTTCTTCCTCCTGTGCCAGATGTGTCACCTCTGTCATGAGGTTGGGAGCTCAGAGATGCACCTTGGCTGAGAGCAGACTGAGCTCCCAGCTCCCAAGGGCAGCTGGTGCAGAGGACACGTCAAGCTGGTTAACCTCACCCCCTCCTCAGAGACATCCCACATGTTCATCTTTATGATCCCAACATGGGTGCGTGTGAGCTGGAGTAGAGACCCCTGCCTGAGATCACTCACAAACGCCCAGCCATCTCACCTTCCTGTAGGGGCTCGGGGGGCCCCGCCCAGTTCAGGTATGGACGAAGCACGCCCATAGGGATGTGCCACTCGGCGGAGCGGGTGAAGCCAGTGTGGCAGGACTTCACGCCTTGCGTTTGATTCAGCTGAAAACCACTGCCTTTCTTCACTACGGCCACGGCATAGTACTGGGTTTGTCTCTCTGCAAAGGGGCAGAGAATTGAAAGCTCTTGGCCTGGACCCAAAGGAGAAAAACAGCCCACCCTGACTAGCCCCTGGTGGGAAGGGGACCCGTGTGCTTCAGTTTCACCTGGTGCACAGCAGCCCAGAGCCCGCCCGATTCCCCAGGGAGCACACAGAGACCTTCCCCCCATGGGTCAGCCTCTGGCGCAAAGCGCACAGCGACTCCATCCCCTGCAAGTGTGATACTGTCTGAGACCCCACCTCAGCCACTCTGCGACTCAGCCACTCTGACTCCACAGAGCCCAGGGCCACCCCAGCTCTGGGTCCCCAGGGAGGACTCACCGGCTTCGGTCCCGTAGACCTCCGCTGCTACAGGTCGCAGTTTGTAGGGTTCCAGTCCTGCCTCAAACACCAAACCGCTATCCAGGGTCACAGCATCTGCCCTGTTTGCCTGAAAGCAAAGAGGCCAGACCGGTTTCAGGAGAAAACCCCTCCTAACCCAGGTGTGTGATTTCAGGACGTCAGAAGGCTCCGTGGCTGGAAAGATCTTCAAACGGGTCAGCTTTTGATTATGTTCACTCACATCCTGTGAGAGGTGGCACGAGCCAAGGGTCCCTCTTTTGGGAAAATAAGCACCAAACCAATTGTTTTAACTCCGGAGGTTGATACGGTCTCTTTTTCATGTTCCTACCTAACCCTGCTGATCACACCCTCCACCGTCATTTATATTTAAAGTTGTCTATTCTAGATGCTTTCTCCCCTGTTTTTGCTCTACATTTATTTCTTTTAAGTTCTTTTTTATTGGGTAGAAAATTTAACTCTTGAGCTATCTTAAAATCATCATAATAAACCATGTTCATCCTCTTTTGCATATTCTCATATGCTTACCTATTTCTTGTAATTGCAATCTGGTAACGATAATATTTTGTGGACTGCTCTCGTTATCTAAAACTGTATACATATTTTTTTTTACTCCTATAGGGCCTTCATTGATGTTACAGACGTCATCATATTTTATTATAATGTGGGTTGTTCCACATAATTCCCCCAAGTGTTCAGCACTTGGGTTATTTACGACTTTTTTTCCGGTTAAAACTATGCTTTCATGGATAGCTTTTTCCTCATAGCTTTTTTTCCTTCGAGGACCTGTTGGGATGGGGTAGGCATCTGAGGGTGGAGTCACCCAGACAACTAGCATGTCAGTGGCCCTGGCTGTGTGTCACCATTACGCTCTCCAGAAAATCTGTGATGCCAATTTACAACACCACAGACCCTGAGGATCAGTTTTACTATAGAATCACCAACAGGACAGGCTTTCATTTTATTAAGTGTTATTACTTTAGAAAATGCAGTTGCTAACTTTTTTTTTTTTTTTTTTAGCTGAGCCATCCTGCCACCTGTTGGCAGCTCAGCGGCTGCTCAGCTCAGGCTGAGAATCGAACCGCTGTCGCTCAGAGCTCAAACTCTTGAGCGAGCTCTTAACCAACTGAGCCACTCGGCCGGCCCCCTGCAGTTGCTAACAAATTGCTTAGATTTGTACTTCGCTGACTATTAAGGCAAACATTTCATAAGTATTTTATTAATTATAAATTTCTTCTTATGCATACTCTGTTCATATCATTTTTCTTATGTGGTCGTACATTTCTTACCCATTTGCATTACTTCTTTATAGAATGTAAAAGGGTCCCCTTGTTAGAGCTGGTGAAGATTTACTCTGGAGCTTTCTACATTTTTTGTTTAAATGTTTTTACTGGCGATGGATTGAATTTTCTGTATTCTGTCAGTTTACTTCATGATTTAGTTCATTGCTTAAAAGCTAAGAGATTTCTCTTCGTGTTTGTCCACAGGCCACAGTTGTAAAATAGTATCCTAAAACATTGCTCAAACTAGATTATTTTCCTCCTACTTACTGTTCTGATACCCCTAAACCTTACTGAAAACTTTTACACAAATTACTCACTCTGTGCTAGAGCTAAGTACACACAGCCGTGGCACAGAGAGCATATGTGTTGAGTGAATCAGTAAAAATTATTTCAGTAGATCTTATATCTGAGAAAACAAAAGGCATCTGAAATCTTCCACAAGCTATGATTCCCTTTTCTCTCTCCCTCAAAATGCCTTGGACAAAAGTCTTTCCCGAGCCTGGTGCCCTGGCAGGCCCTGCCGCACAATGTGACATGGAAACTGCGACCAGCTAAGCTTATTTCTCTCGGGGTTTAGAGGTAATGATCTTTCTGGGGGTAGTACCTTTCAGAGTAACCTTGACTTTTGCCAGTCTTACATATTCATCCAATATGACTATTGCTGTGTCACTTTTGTACAGTTGTTATTAACAAATTATGTTGAGAGCTCAGTTTCCTGACACATTTTCTCTCCACTTTAGAATGTTCATTTCTGCTTTCAAAATAGTGTTGTATCCTATAAGAGAAGACTGCTCCCAACTGATAGACGCCAAGGAAGGAAAGAAGAAGGAGGAGGGAAAGCAGGTTTTCTATTTTACGCATTTCTTTCCCTTCCCTTCCATTCCATTTGGTCCCACCCAACATATAGCACTTGCTGATGGCACTTACTGCGATGGCCTTGATACATTCGGTTTGGGAGGTTTTCCTTATGCAGGAGATAGAGGGACCACGCACTTTTCTCAGATTCCGTTGGAGTTGGGAGCATTTTCTTGCCTCTGGTCTTGATATGGTGCACCATCGCACGCCTCTCCTAGGGGCAGCCAAACACAGTCCTGGGAGAAAGAGGCCACGGAGGAAGGGCTCAGCCACTGCCCACAGTAGAGACTACCTCACCCTCTGACGGGGTTTCCCAGACTCCTTCATTGTCTCTGCTCCTTCCCTTCCCTCTCCATTCGGTGGCTAAATCAGGCTACTCTCTTCAGGGGGAAGTGTCTTGCTGGCCTAATGAGCGCTCTATCCTGGCCAGAGGGCTGTGATTCTCAATAAATCGTAGGGGACAACCAGAGCCCCTGGGTCCTTTTCCTTCCTATGATTGACACATTTCCCACTCCCAGAAAAATGATGATGACCCCGTGCATCAGTTAACAGAGCTCTCCCACCTGCCTTGTCGCACGTGAACCTGGGAGGTAGGCAGAAAAGGCGTTATTGTTCCTGATGTGGAACCTGGTTCTTGAGGAGGCTGAGGGACCAGCTACTTAGCAATGGCAAAGCCAACCTAGAATCCAGATCCTTCTAGATTGTTGTGTCTACAAGCATCTCCCCAGGGGATGTGAAGAAAACTAAGGGAAATACATCCGACTCCTTGTCAGTGGCTGCAGTGTACCAAATGGGTCAGTGCGCCTGAGTTACCACCATTCACCTCGGTATCAGAAAAACTGGTTCTCCTGCCAAGCCTGCCTTTGTTGCTGGAATCTATGCAATTGGGGAAGAGGCTGGCCCAGATTTGCTCACAGCTTTTAAAAACCACATGGATGCCTGATGCAGGGCATCTATGAAAAGCCTATGGTGAACATCATATTAAAGTGGGAAAACACTGATGCTGTCCTCCTAAGGTCAGGAACAATGCAAGAGCAACTACTCTCGCTTCTTCTATTCAATATAGTACTGAGGTGCTAGCAACAACAATAAGGCAAGAAAGAAAAGAGAAAAAAACCAAAAACATCCAGACTGGAAATAAAGAAGTAAAATAGGCTTTATTTGCTGAAGACATGATCCTCTATGTAGAAAATCCTAAGGAATCTACAAGATGCTATTAGAACTAATAAGCAAGTAACACAAGGTCACAGGATACAAGAGCAATATACAGAATCAATGATATTGTTGCCTACAAACATTGCACAATCTGAAAATAAAATTTAAAATATCATTCTATTCACAAAAACATCAAAAAGAATAATACCTAGGAAAATATTTAAGAAAATACATGCAGGATTTGTACACTGAAAATTCCAAAACTTGCTGAAGGAAATGAAAAAAGATCTAAATAAATGGAGAAACATTCATGTTCATGCTTTACAAGACTCAATATCGTAGGTAATCCTCCCTAAATTGATATAGAGAATCAACACAATCCCTATCAAAATTCCAGCAGGCTTTTTTTTTTTTGCAGAAAGTGATAAGCAGATTCTAAAATTTGTATAGAATAAATAAATTTATATAAAATAGCTAAAGCAATTTTATATAATTCATATTTATACAATTTACTTTATGTAATTTATATAGAATAGCCAAAAACAATTTTGAAAAAGAACAAAGTTGGGGGAATTTTAGTTCCCAATTTCAAAACATACTACAAAGCTACAGTTATCAAAACAGTTTGCTATTAGCATAAAGGTAGACATATAGATCAATGAAACAGAATTAGAAGTCCAGAACTATATTCTTACATTTAAAGTCAATTGATTTTTGACAAAGGTGCTAAGACAATTGACAGAAAGGGTAGTCTGTTAACAAATGGTGCCAGCACAATTAAATATCCACATGCAAAACGATAAACTTAGAGCCCCACCTCACACCATACAGAAAAATTAACTCAAAGTGGATCACAGCACTTACTGTAAAAGATAAAGCAATTAAACTTTTAGAAGAAAATGCAAAAGAAAAAAATTGCAACCTTGGGTCAGGTAAAGATTAATTAGCTATGACATCAAAAGCAGTCCATAAATTTAAAAAATAATAATTAATTGGACCTATCAAAATTCAAAACTTTTGTGTTTCAAAACACAGTTAAGAAAACAAAAACACGAGCAACAGACCGGGAAGGAATTTGGAGAAGTGGACGGAAGGCTGGGACAGGCATGGCATCGTGCTCCCTAGGTTTGGGGGTGTAAGCTCACTGCTGCTCTCTAATCACCCCCTTCCATCCAGGAAGCATCCAGCCTGGCCTAGATGTCCTAAGACAGGAGGAGGCTGCACTAGACGGGGGTGGGGGGTCACTTTCACTCTGACCCCCACATACTGCCGAGGTGCTGCTGCCCACCACCGCCTTTCTGCTGCTGCCTGGGACCCTCCCTCCACTGAGGAAGCCCTGCCCACACACACTTACATCGCTAATGTCCATCACTGGTGAGTACCCTCAAAGTGCCCCAGAAATTACTTCAGAAACTTGGGTATAGAATTAACAATTGCTTAGTCCCTTCTATTTAGTCCCTTCTAGCCCGGGCACATTTAAAACCAGAAATCTATCATTTCCCTCCACCCTCTGACAGAGGGATCTCAGGAGAGTCTGCGCCTCCACCCGGGGCCCCTCTGCAGCGGGAGGGAGGCGTGTGTACACCGTCGCCTACCACTGCCGCCTCACAGCTGCGTGGGGAGATGTTTGGGCAGTTCTTTTAAATGAAGAAAGTCTCTGTCTTGTCCAAGTTACACAACCCTTGCAGGAGCTCAGATCTGAACTCCAGCTGTGCTGTGTGTCTCGGGCAAGTCACTCACCCTCTGTGTCTGTCTCATTTCCCTCCCATGTAAGCCTCGTGTAACAGTACTATGAGTAGGACAAAATGGGACAGGGTCTGGGAATGCCCTTTGGGAAGCTCTGCGCAGCTCTCGGCATGCGGCGACCCGCTCCTTTCCGGCCAGGTGAGCGGGACCCGGCCCCACTCCCGGGTGCTTCCCCAGCTGCAGGCGCCGTGTGCCAACGCGGCAGGGCGCGGCTATCGGGGTGCCCAAGCGGCAGGGTGCAGTGACCCGGGTGCCCACCCCGCGGGGCGCAGTGACAGGGACGCTCATCTGCCGGGGGGCGCGTCCCCAGGTACCTGCACTCACCAAGGGCCCCGAAGGACAACAGGGCGGGGATGATGAGTTTCATGTCTGGGGTCCTGAGGAGACGCCAGCAAACGAAGGCTCTGCTAGGTGCGCCTGCTCTGCACCCCTTTATCCAGGGCTTGGTGACCTCACAGGGTTTGTCCCGCCCTGTGGCCCAATAGGTGCCCCCTGCACCCCCCTCCTTTCAAACGCTTTGGCTTCCTGGAGGCCAAAGAACTCTGGGGGTGGGGGAGAAGGATGGAGCAGAGGAGGAGACCGAGGGGGGAGGGGAGAAGGAAGCAGAGGAGGGGACGGAGGGGGGAGGGGAGACGCAAAGGTGCCTGGGCAGGGCTTGGCACCAGGAGAGAGGACACCCAGCTCACAGCCACCTCACACGTCTGCCCTGGTGCCATTGGGATGTTCTTTCTCTCCCATTAGTCTGCAAGCCCCTGGGGAGTGGCATCCCTGACTTTGTCCTCCCTCTGGCCTCAGTGCCTCCCAGAGAGTGGGACACAGCGCAGGGGTCCTAAGGTGAATAGTTGTGGATCATCTTAACAGTGACGCTGACATTTCCTTTAGCAGATGGTGTCTAGAGTGCCTGGGCGCCAGTCAGGGCCGGAGAACCCCCTCCATCTTGGCACAGCAGCCAGCCTGGAGGTCTGAAGAGGACCTAGGGCCTGGCCTGAGGTCAGCAGCAGCCTGGGACAGCTGGAGAGAACACAGAGGCTGCCCAGGGTGCCCATGGGGTTCCTTCTGGCCCTGCTGAGACCACAATACAGCTCTCAGAAAACAAAGCCAGAGGTCTCTGAAAATACCCACCATTCAGTGCCCAGCAGCTGTCTTCTCATTTGCCAAAGGGAAGGACGTCTCACCCTGATTTTTGTTTTGTTTTGTTTTGTTTTGCTTTGCTTTGCTTTGTGGCAGACTGAGGTGGGAGATGAGAACCTCATTTTGATAAGTGTCACATTTTGTCCGCAATACATAAGCTGACTGGCTCCTTCCTCGTTTCGGGAAGCTGTTTTTAAATTCCAAAGTTAGAATTCTGCTCCTAAGAAGACACCTTGTAAATACACTCCCGTGATGCATACCGGCTGGCATGGCAGCACCGCATGTCATTAACGGACTGGAAGCAAACTAAACGTCCATCTCTCGAGGGTGTCACATGCAGTGTGGTGCCATGCATGTAGCGGGACACACTGGAGGTCTCAGCAAGGACAGGCCACCTGTATGTGCTGATGTGAACTTAGCTCCAAGAGATACTGAGTGGAGAAAGTACTAACAGTGAGAAAAATCACGGGCCACCTGAACACCCCTCTTGACAGGTCAGTCTGGCTAATATGTGACTCTGAAACCTGCTTATCCTAAAAAGCTGGTTTTAACTGCATTTCCTAGAGCAGATGCACAATACCTGGGAGGCAGCACTGTTGGG